ATAATTTAACTAAAATTAAAATAACAAATACAAATCAAACGACAGTAGTTTATCAGTAATCCTAAAAAATAACACTGTCAAACATACCTGCTAAAAAACAACAACTTACTTACACATAGTAAGAAATGGTTATAAAAACTGAAACAGAAGTGAAACAAGTAGTACGCTCTAAAAAATGCTGGGCTGCCTCAACCCAACCCTGGGTCAAATATGGACCAACCCAACCCCCGGGCCAAAAATCTAATGTAAAAATTCAACCCAAGGTTGGGTTAGTCCATACCCGACCCAAAGCCGGGCCAAAACAACCGAGCACCTTCCAGAGTGTAGGAAAGAGGAGAAATAAAAAGCGATACTTATCCTTTGCTGGTGTCCCTGCCCGGTGGAGTCGCACGGTAGAGTCGGTGGTCTTTACACTCTTCGGTCGCACAGTAGAGTCGGTGGACTTTACACTCTTCGGTCGCACGGTAGAGTCGATGGTCTTTACACTCTTCGGTCGCACAGTAGAGTCGGTGGTCTTTACACTCTTCGGTCGCACGGTAGAGTCGATGGTCTTTACACTCTTCGGTCGCACGGTAGAGTCGGTGGTCTTTACACTCTTCGGTCGCACGGTAGAGTCGGTGGTCTTTACACTCTTCGGTCGCACGGTAGAGTCGGTGGTCTTTACACTCTTCGGTCGCACGGTAGAGTCGGTGGTCTTTACACTCTTCGGTCGCACGGTAGAGTCGGTGGTCTTTACACTCTTCGGTCGCACGGTAGAGTCGGTGGTCTTTACACTCTTCGGTCGCACGGTAGAGTCGGTGGTCTTTACACTCTTCGGTCGCACGGTAGAGTCGGTGGTCTTTACACTCTTCGGTCGCACGGTAGAGTCGGTGGTCTTTACACTCTTCGGTCGCACGGTAGAGTCGATGGTTTTTACACTCTTCGGTCTTCACACGAGGATGCCGTCACGCGACGGCTGCCGACTTTTACTTAACTATTTTTTATTTCAAATTAAACGCAACTAACCTAAAAAAACTAACAAAAAAGAACAAAATTACTAAAGCTTAAATAAAAATTAACATGAAAACTGAAATATAAAAATAAAAGCTAATTCAAAAATTAATAAATACTATAATAGTATATACTAAACAAACATATTATATCATAAAAAATACTATATGAGTAAAAGCGGTCACTGCAGTCCTTCCCCATCAACATGTGTGTTTTAATATTTGTTCATTCTGGATATATACTCTTCAAACTTTATCACCTGTGGGTATAAATGATGAACCACTGTTCAATGCGATGCTGTCGAGTGACATTTTTAATGTATTGTATTTTCAATCTATTGCGTTTATATTTGAGTAAAAATTTGTTTTGAGATAACCTTTCTACAGGATGTTTCTAATATTATGATGTGTTACGTCATTGATTGTGATTGGTAATCATGTATCATTGCAGTGATTGGCCATATGCTGTTTTTAAATGAGGTTGTGCCTGCATATTTTTGTATACCTGATGAAGGTCATAAGACTGAGACATTGTTAATAAAGTATTGTATATATATGCAATACTATTGATATATGTACACACAATTGATTGTGTGCGGGACAGTTGAGGATTTTTTTTTGTTTTGGTTTGGTCTGTTTTTCTATACACCCATCTATTACCTGCAGGTGTGCGAGGTTAATGGTTCATTTTTAACATTTGGTTTGCCTTACAACAATATTTCCATTTTTTTTTTTTTTTACTTAACCATTTCTTTTTTTTCCTTAATGAATTTATGTAAATGATTGATTTCCAATTATCATGAGAAATAAAAAAGTTCATGTGTTCTTTCAGTATATTTATTTTCCATTTCCTCACAAATACACACTTTAAATAAAAATATATATTTTTTATTATCTTTTTATTTTAATCTGTGGAAAACGTCATAGGCCTATAATGGCATGACAGGGTTGCCCATGAAACAAAATACCATAGTAACAATTAACCATTAATTAATTAAATTAATTAATGTTATTGAAAAGAAATTACAGGTTATTACAGTGTTTGCAGGTAATGTCGTTTTAATACATTATGACTTTACGACATAGTGAAAAACCAACGCAACGGAAAATTGTTTGAGCACCTCTCCTCTAGATGGCAGCAGCGAGTTCCCGTTTCTGCTCAGCAAATCTAAACATCCAGAGAGGAACATACACGTTTCGGCACATTGGCTTGTATTGATCTTACTTTAGTTTCTAATAATCTGGCAAATTCTTGTGAGTGGAATATTGAAGACAGTACAAGTATTGGGAGCGACCACTTTCCAATAATATGCTCTATAAATGTTGAAATAGATATACAAGAAAGGCCTAGGCATAAGAAGTGGGATTTTACAAAAGCTGACTGGCAAAAATTTAAAGAAATATGTTGTGAGTCAGCAGATTGAATTTTAATGGAGGGTGATATTGAGGAATGTGCATCTGAGGTTTCACAATTAATATTAAATGCTGCTTTGAATAGCATACCACTCAAGATAGTTGGAGGGAAAAGGAAAACGGTCCCATGGTGGAATGATAAATGTACAGAAATTATAAAAGAACGAAATAATGCTCTGAGAATATTAAGAAATAATTTATACGGCAGAGATGATGGCGATTATTGTAGGATACAGGGTATATTATAGGATTTAGATAGTAGTGCTATAATATTTATTTATATATATATTTTAAAATTTTTTTTTTTTTTTTAATATAATGTAAAGTGCATTAATTGAGATATAATCCATGCTGCATACTCCGATACAGTAGGTGGCGGTATGCACCTGATAAGTCATGGTTGCAATCCGCCATAAAACTAACAAGAAGAAGAAGAAGAAGTACACGTTTCCGCCAAAGGCAATATGGTGGACTTGCTATCATCATTAGCGCCCTGCATAAATCTAAAAATCAGTCTGTACAAACTCTCCTAGAGGCCTTGCACTACATCACCATGTTTAAGAAAGCCAAGAGGTGCAATTTCAGACGGAGGAATGACTCAGAAGATGAAGAGAAAGAGGTGGGCCAGCAGTCCGGCGGGCCCGGGGCTGAAGACTTGTCGAACCCGAGTGAGTCCACCAGCACCGGCCCCGCTCCTGGAGCAAACATGCTGAACAATCACGGAAACGGGTTTCAGCCCGGTGCTGTCAAGTCCAACAAAGAGAAAAAGAGAAAGAAGGAGAACCGAGACCGAGAGGAACCGAAAGCGAGTCTGCTGAGCTTCCACGATGATGAAGGTGCCTATTGAGCTGCCATTGAAGACATATGCAACTTAATGAATATACATATGAAAATGTAACGTTTCACAAATGATTCGTGTAGAGTTTTGCAGTGTATTTCTCCATCTAATTGCAGTCTATTGAAATTGTGAAACAATTCGTGTCATTAAAGTGACAGTCACTAAACCGAAAAACACGAGCTACTTAGCATATTATATTAGGTAACGTTAGTAATAGTGACCAATTAGGACGCTGCACATATTTGAATATAGCAAATGATTGGCTAAAGACCAATATGATAATATTACTGTGATAAGGGAGAAAATGAATTTCAATGGTCATGGCAAATATGGAAATATTGGAGTATTTTAAAACTGCTTAAAAAAAATTAATAGTTTTATTTTTTAAATGTCCAGTACATATCCAGTAATCATTAAAAAGAAAAGGTCATGTAAATTAATTGGTCAGAATGTGTGTAATTTTTTGAAAAATACTCCTGTGAATCCCACAGATAATTTCTTGAATATCATTATATATCTGTCACTATTAGATGAGGCTGAAGTGTTCCATGTGAAGAAATCCAACCACAGCAAGAAGATTGTCAAGCAGCTGAAGAAAGAATTCAAGGAGGATTTGGAAAAGACCGGCAGTGCCACGGAGGACCAAAACACGCGCATTGGTACAAAACTTTTTTTGTTGTTGTTTTTTTCTTCATGATGATATGCATGTTTATAGATCAGAGTCAGGGGACTGCTTTCTATCTTCAGGAAATCATTATATTTAGTACATTTATATATATATTAAAAAAATGCATATGTGCACCCTCATCAGAAAGATGCATTAGTGATTTTATTTTTTTTTTAGTCAGGGGACTGCTTTCTATCTTCAGGAAATCATTATATTTAGTACATTTATATATATATATTTAAAAAATGCATATGTGCACCCTCATCAGAAAGATGCATTAGTGATTTTTTTTTTTTTTTTAGAGAATTGCATACACTGTAAAAAAAAAAAAGTTGTCAAATTTGTAAATAAAACAAACATTATTGGAGTACATTTTACAAGAAAATGCTATTTCAGTTTTTCTACTTCAAAATTGTTTCATTCAATGTGTTACCCAATTTTTTTTTACAGTGTATGACCCCATTTTTTCTAGGTTTATTTTTCTTCCGTGGTGGTTTAGACCCTATAAAAGGATTACAAACCCTCAGAAATCTTCACCACTAAACCATCTAGCTAGTTAAAGATTACAAAGTAAGTTTGTAGTATTGCTCACCAGTTTGTTCATTCCAGGCGGACCTGCTCAGAATCTGTCAATTAAAGAGGAGCCCTTGGAGGGCAGCAGAGCCAGCAGTGAACAGGGAGAAGAAGAAATGGAGGTGGATAGCAATGAGGAACAGGAGGAGGAGGGCGAACAAAGGCCTGCGGGTGGAGCGTTTAGCCAAACTCTGTCGGCTCTCAGCTCACTCAGACCAGGTGAGAACATCCATCAATCCAGACCAGACCTGGACAGGACCAGCGTCAGCAGGATTAGGCTGTTTTTGCTTTTTAAATGCTTCAAGAACAGGCATACAGGGCTGGGACCTGCTTATGGGTATTGTGGTTAAACATTGAATTAGGGCTGCACGATTAATCGAATGTGATTGTCAGGCGCATCTTGTCAGTAAAGCCTGTTCTGTATTCAGTAGTAAATCTCCATCACGTGCTTTCAGATGGATCAGCATTTACTACACAGAGCCGTAGTTCACTTACAAGCTACGCAAAATCACGTTCATAATTGCAGAAAATTTAATTGTGCGATTATGAAATTGAAGATATCGTTCCGCGATTATGAAAGCTGTTTGCGTAGCTTCTCAGTGAACTACGGTTCTGTGTAGTAAATGCTGCTCCATCTGAAAGCATGTGGAAATA